TCTCTCTCTCTCTCTCTCTCTCTCTCTCTCTCTCTCTCTCTCTCTCTCTCTCTCTCTCTCTCTCTCTCCCCCACCAACCACTCCCTCCACCTCAACTGTGTTTACTCGATTTCGACGTTCCCCACTTCATCTTCTTGCCCGCGGATAACCTCCTGACCAATCGTTTCCATCCTGAACGACTGGCAGGGGTTGCCTCTCTCTCCGTAGACGGCTCCCGCTCCTCCATCTCCACGACCTCTTCCGTTCTAAGTGCCGTAGGTGACACAACCTGTACGATTCTTGGAATGGGAGCTGGCATGTGTGCGGCCATGACTTCCGCAGACGGCGTCTCAGGAAACTCGAACATGTCCGACGTGTCCATCGAATTCAAGTCTCTTCCAGCAACGCCTCCCGCTACTTCCCGCCCACCTGCCATTCCATTTCCGTTGGCAATTCGATGATGATGATGCTGCTGCTGCTGCTGATGATGATGATGATTGTAATCCCCGCCGAAAACAGAAGGATGTGCGTTCGACGATCTCACGCGTGCGCCATCCCCCCCTCCTCCTCCTCCTCCTCCTTCTCTCTTCTTCCCCTTTGCCTCCTGATACTGCTCTTGCTGCTGCGGCGGCTGCTGCTGGTGTTGTTGCTGCTGCTGCTCCCTTTCCTCTTCATCGGAGTCTATCTCTTCGATTCTGACAGCCTGCACGTCAGACTGAGCCAAGTCTCGGACATCGATCACCCTACCCGCTGCGCCAAGCTTCGGGACCACCACTGTCAGGTCCCCGTGCTCGCAGTGAGCTGTAGTGGAGTCGGGATCCGAGTCCTTCGGCAACTTGAATCGCCGTACAAAACTACTCGCTCTCTCTATCGCCTCAACTTTCTTGGATTTGACCCCCGGGACCCTCCCCCCCCCGCCGCCGCCGCCCACCCCCGTTACGTCCCCCGTCGTCTCCTTGCCGCCGCTGATGACTAGCATCCGGCCGCCATAGCCAGTGTCATCCACCTGCACCTTGAGGTCCTCTCTCGTGAAACCTGGAGCTTCAGCGGAGAACACGTAGGCCGTCGGCGTCTCTTTCACATCGACCCTGGAAAATGCCGACCGAGTCTGCCCGTCCCATAGGCTATTGATTAAATCCAGAAGTGAAAACCCCTCCAGGGGGGGAGGGGTACCGCTTGCGGTCTTCTGGCGATCAGCAAGGGTGGAATTAAACCCACTCTCATCGATCGCGGCCGTCGAGGGCCAGCCATCATCGAATGCTGGGGTGGCGAAAGCGCTGTCGGAGTCTGAGAACGAACTAGGTTGGTATCCCGGCGTCTTGAAAGAATCATTCACAAATCGATCAAGCCATCGTCGACTGTCCATCTTTCCCAAATACCCTCGTACTCCCTCCTACGCTCCCAATTTCCTAAATACCCTCGTCGAGGGAGACAGAGTCTGAGACAAACACCCGCCCACCCCCTCTGCCTCCCTCCTACACACTCCCAATTTCCCAAATACCCTCGTCCTCCCTCCCTGACTGAAAAAAAAAAAAAAAAAAAAAAAGATTTTTACGTCGTCACGTCCCCGTCTAGAAAGGACACACGGCTTTCTCTCTCTCTCCCTCTTTCCTTTCTCCTCCTGTTTACCTGGCCTCTCTCTCTCCTCCTCCTGGGACGCTCCCTCCCTCTCCCCCGCTTCGAGACGTGATTGCCAACGGAAATTTTGACTAGTATTTATATATATACATAGATATACAGGTTGTAGTTATTGGCTGCTGAAAATAGCTTCTCTCTACTTGTTGAAGTTACGATGATTAACTAATAATAAAATAAATAAATACTTTCCCCGGCGAGGCGCGGCGAAGCGAATAGAATCTGATGGTGGTCCCCACTTGTGCCGTTCTAACATTTCCAGCTGCCAGCATTCGCGCGTTCTTAATGTAAATATATTCTTCTTCCCCGAGGGGGGGGCGCTCGCATCGATGGAATACACAGTCGTCTCCGCGTCACTTCAGTTGCGCTTCGGCAGGCTGTCTAAAAGCGCCACGAAATTGGAAGGCCAAACAAAACGTAACAGCCACGTGAGAAAATGCGCCAAACCAGGGTTTTGTGATCTTCAAAAATAGATTCATTTGCCGAGCAG